TTCCTCCCGCCATCCGCAAAAACCCAAAACAGGCTCCCTCTCCTCTTTTACATCCACGGCGGCGGCTTCTGCATGCTCTCCGCATTCTCCCCGCAGTACCACGATTTCTGCAACAAAGTCGCCGCTGACGCTAACGCCGTCGTTGTCTCCGTCGAATACGGACTCTTCCCGACCCGACCCATACCCGCTTGCTACGAGGATTCCTGGACTGCCCTCCAGTGGGTAGCTTCCCACGTCGCCGGCGACGGACCCGAGCCTTGGCTAAACCATCACGCGGATTTCCAAAGAGTGTTCATCGGCGGAGACAGCGCCGGAGCCAACATATCGCATACGCTGGCGGTTCGGGTCGGATCAATCGGGTTGCCGGCGGGTGTAAAGTGGTGGGTGTGATTATGGTGCATCCGTATTTTGCAGGTGTTGATCATATTGATCGAATGTGCGTTTTCATGGGCGCGAGCAATGGTGGAATGGAGGATCCGAGGATTAAGCCGACGATGGAGATCTCGGCGACTGGGATGTGAGAGGGTTCTGGTTTTGTGCAGAGAAAGACGAATATGAACTGAGAGAAGTTGGAATCGATTACTGTGAGAAGCTGAAGAAGAGTGGGTGGAATGGAAGTGTGGAGATTGTGGAACATGTCGGTCAAAGCCACGTTTTTCATCTCAAGGAGGAAACCAAATTGCACGAAGACGCTGTCGTTTTGGTCCAGAAATTTGTTTCATTAATCAAGCAGGATTAGTCTTTACGCGTGCGTGTACGTATAGATTACACGTACGTATATCTAGGTGCATGTGCTTATCTTATGTCACAAGTGTCAACTTGCTAGTTATAATTCTATTTTAATTATCTCGTATATAAATAATAAAGAACAATATTAATTTTAATATTTTTAAATTTTATTTTATTTTAAATATCTTATAGAACCTTCGTATGAACCATACGTATATAAATACTTACAAATTTAAAAATTAAACTACATAATAAAATAGATATAACTCAATATATTACTTGTATTGTACATTAAGTAGGTATATATTAATAACTTACAAGCCCAATGAGTTAAATGATCTATATAATGCAATTAATATTGCATAAAAAAGTTATATATATATATATATAGTCATTAAAGCTTTTGATATCTTCATAATCTCCATATTTTTTTTGCTACATATAAAATATGTTTTGGTGGATGAAAATGAATATAATAATACTTTTACTAAATATATACTCAAAAATTAGTTTACATTTATGTATACTTTGATAGGTATAACTTATCTAATTAGTCGGTTATTCAAGTCTATCAATTTATTACGATTAACTTTTTTATAAATATATATAATATATGAACTTATTAATTTATCTATATATATTTGAATGGTTCCCTTCAACTCACGAAAAATATTTAGTTCGAATATATATATATATATATCAATGACTTAATCAATATAAAATATCTTTTGATCAATTTAGAAATTATTTCGATTCAATTAGTAATCGAAATAATGGTATACTCCTATTTTTGTCTATAACCCACTTTCCCTTATAATGTGTTAAATGTTAACGATATACATAAGCAATTTGTATAATATGCTAAATATATTTTACATTTAGAAAAAAATGTATATATATTTATGATACGTTCAAATTAAAATTTTCATACAAAAATTACCCTTATTCTACACTTATTTAGTATTAACATAATTTTGGTGGAGGGATCGGAACTTTGCCAAATTATCCCCCATTTCCAAATCTAAAGGGAAGCATCCTAATCCTGAAAGGCATTAGGTTCGGCTCGTGCGAGAAGCTAAGGATGTAATAATGCAAATTTTGGTATATCTATTAACACAGGTGACGAGAATTGTACAATTCAATATTTAAATTTATATTTTTAAATTGACGGATACAAATTTAAACATCCGAACAAATTAGATTAAGTTACGAAATTTTTTGTTGATTTAGAGTTCCAAGTAACTCGTTCATTAATTTTTAGTATTAGTGCGTCATTTAAATAAAATATAATTTTTATTAAAAATTTAATTACTTAAATTTAATTTTCGTCGCTATATATAATTTAAAAATAATAAAATTTAGCTCAATTTGAGTATTACAATATTATTAATACATTAATAAATTAAGTTATTAGTTTTATTAAATTAAAACATTATCCGGTGATGATATTGTAATCTTGTAAATTTTAATTATAATATAAAAATCTTAATTATCAAATCATTTAATCTCGATAAACTCAAAATGGTATAATTATTTAAAAATCGAGTTATCTATTTAATATCTTAAAAATGTATATACTAGTCTAATTACTAAATAGCATTTTTTGTAAAATAAAAATTTACCGAGTAAATAAAATATATATTTTTAAAAAATCAACCAATATTATAGCCGATATAGACAACACAGTGTATATATATATGTATGTATATATATATAGAAGTTTCTAAATCTTAATTAGATTAAATATTTTAATTTTTGTAGTAATTTTTTTTTTTTTTAATAAAAATTCAAAAGAAATTAATTATATTTATGAAATCCTCAACTAACTCATCTACCATACACGTGGATGCACTTATTCACCGGCATTATTTATAGACCAAGACGCAAAGCAAAAACATAAACATAAACTTTGTAGTCTTCTCTTCCTTCCACTTCCTCCATGGATTCGAGCAGCTCAGAAATCGCCCATGACTTTTTCCCCATGGCTCGCCTCTACAAAGACGGCCGCCTGGAAAGACTTCGCGGCACAGCCACCGTCCCGCCATCTCTCGATCCCGAAACCAGCGTCGAATCCAAAGATGTCGTCTTTTCAACCGAGCCAAATCTTTCCGCCAGGCTCTACATCCCAAAATCCGCAACACTTCACTCCCAGAAACTCCCACTGTTAATCTACTTTCATGGCGGCGGCTTCATAATCGAATCCGCCTTCTCCCCCACTTACCACGCCCACCTCAACACTTTAGTTGCAGAAGCCAACGTCATCGCCGTCTCAGTTGATTACCGCCTAGCCCCGGAGCATCCTCTCCCGGCAGCCTACGACGACTCATGGGCCGCACTCAAATGGGTCGCCGCCCATTCCGACGGAAACGGCCCGGAAGATTGGCTGAACCGATACGCAGATCTGCAAAAGGTGTTTTTAGCAGGTGACAGTTGCGGAGCCAACATAGCTCACCACATGGCTGTTAGAGTTGGCAAAGAAGAAAACCATGGAAAACCTTACGTTGCTCTTGATGGTATCATTCTGGTTCACCCGTATTTCTGGGGTAAAGACCCGATTGTCGAGGAGGCCAGTTATGTAGCTTTCCGGTCGATGATCGACGCTCTGTGGCGGTTCTCGTGTCCTGGCTCTAGTGGGCTCGATGATCCCTTGATTAACGTGTGCGGCGATAGTTCGTGTCTGGCGAGGCTCCGGTGCAGGAGGGTTCTGGTTTGTGTTGCAGAGAGGGATGGTTTTAGGCAGAGCGGGGTTGAGTACTGTGAGAAAGTGAGGAGAAGTGAGTGGGGAGGAGTTGTGGAGATGATGGAGAGTGAAGGAGAGAACCATGTTTTTCATTTGCTTGATCCTACGAGAGAAGCTGTGGGTCCTCTTCTTAAGACCATTGTTGATTTCATTAGCCAAGATCATGATCCATAATCTTATCAATATGTACACACACACACACATATATATATATTATATATATGGCTTTTAGTTGCAGTTCTTGATTTCAAGAGCGTTGAATGTTGACTTTCAATAAAAGATAATAGACTTTTATGTCATTTTGAGTGAATGAGAGATTCATTCTGATTTATGATAGAATATTTAACAACTTTTTTGGGATTTACATTTTAATTTATAAAAATTTATTTGTAATTGAATATTTAGTAAAAGTATATACGGAGAATAAATGAATAAATGGCTCGAGAACCAAAAAGAAAAAGACAAACAAGAAAAAGAAACTGTAAAGGGCATAGGGAAAAATCTTATCCCTTCTCCCGTTTGTAGAGACCTCTTTCCAATTCGTGTTCTTCTGCAACTACTTCCCATGGATCCAACAAAGCAAGAAGAAATCGCCCAAGATTTCTCCCCAATGCTCCGGGTTTACAAAAACGGCCGCGTAGAAAGACTCATGGGCACAGCCACACTCCCACCCTCGCTCGATCCCACCACCAACGTTCAATCCAAAGACGTCATCTACTCCCCACAGACAAATCAACACGCCAGACTCTTCCTCCCCAAATCCACCCACCCAAACCAAAAGCTTCCCCTTCTAGTCTACTTCCATGGCGGCGGCTTCGCCATCGAAACCGCCTTCTCCCCCACCTACCACAACCACCTCAACACGTTAGTCGCGGAAGCCAATATCATTGCCGTCTCCGTCGATTACCGCCGAGCCCCGGAACACCCTCTCCCTGCGGCGCACGACGACTCATGGGCCGCTCTCGAATGGGTCGCCTCCCATTCCGACGGAACCGGCCCGGAAGATTGGCTAAACCGACATGCAGATATACAAAACGTGTTCTTCGCGGGTGACAGTGCGGGTGCCAACATAGCTCATCATATGGCCATGCGAGTCGGGGAAAAAGCATTACCAGCGGTGAATCTCAACGGCGTCGTTTTGGTTCATCCGTACTTTTGGGGCAAAGAGCCAGTTGGCGATGAGGTTAAGGACATGTCGTTTAGATCCAAGGTCGATGCCATGTGGCTTCTTGCTTTTCCGGACTCGAGTGGGTCCGATGACCCGCTTCTGAATGTCTGCGGGTCGAGCGGTCCGAGCCTGGCCGGTCTCGGGTGCCGGAGGGTGCTGGTTTGTGTTGCGGGGAAGGATTTTCTCCGAGCGAGAGGTTGGGAGTACTACGAGAAGTTGCTGGCGAGTGGGTGGGAAGGTGTTGTGGAGATTGCAGAGGATGAAGAAGAGAATCATGTTTTTCATTTGCTGGATCCTACGAAGGATAGCTCCAAGGCTGCTGTGAAAAGAATTGCTGCTTTCATCCGCCATGATCGCACCATTTGAGCTCCACATATATATATATATATATATATGTATTAGCCACTTTTTTCTTGGGTTAATTTCACTCATTTTTATGTTATTCTGAATTTTCCTTAAAATATTGCATTATATTAGTATGCATGCAACATTAGTTAAATAATATGTACTAATTTTCTCAAATATATACATTTTTAGTTTACAATTAATCAAAATTAATAATATTATTAATTTATTTAATTAATTCAAGTTATTTTTTCAATTATTTTTTAAAAATTTAAATACGATTTAATTACTTTAACTTTTTATTTTTTAAATAGAAAGAAATTAAATATTTAAAAGAAATACAAATAATCTTGGAGAATAAATTAGCTAAATGTCAAATTTTAAAAATTAATTTAAACAATAAAAAAATATAAATTTATATAATTTAATAATTAATTAATATTTATGTATAACAATAACACTATAATTTCTTAGTAAAATACCAATAATTAACTTAAATTTTTTTCACTATTGTTAACTTGTGGGTAAATTATAAAACATTTTTTTAAAAGTTTTGACTTTAATTACGATGGAATTTAGTAATTTTTAAAAATAGAATTTAATTTTTATGTTTTAAATAAATATTTTAATTTCGGTTTATTAAATTAATTATATATATATTAAAATTGTATTATGATCCATTTTAATATAAATTTTAATTTTTAATTTTTTATTTTCTGGGCAGGAAAATTAGCAGGGGCAAAACTTGGAACAGTTTGAGCCACAACGCTATCTTTGTTTTCTTATGAACTGAGAACTCCCTCTGATATTTTTTCTCATTTTCCCTTCCCGGCAAGCAAGCATTAATCAGTTCAATCCTCCCAGAATATCCCCCAAGAGCTGCGGTTGCTCTGCAACTCATTTTTCAGTTCTAGGGTTCTACAAACCTTATCACTCAATCAATTTCAATTAACAGCAGCGAAGAAATGATAATGGAGAGAACTGCAATCCTGCGTTCTCTCTCCTGTTCTTCTCTCGCTTCCAACAGATTCCTCTTCCGTTCCTTTCACAGGCTATCTCGCTCTTCTCTTCAGCCTTCTTCTTCATCTTCTGCTCCGCGCTATCTCCGAAGACCAATCCCGGCGCTCACAAGACGCTCCACGCTCCGCCACAGCTCGAGATTGCTTCCCTCCGCCTCTCCGTCATCTTCTCTTAGCTTCAACCGAAAGTTCTCCTCTCTCTCTACTCGCGCTATCGCCACTCAGCCTTCTCCAGGTACGTACACCGATGCATGTAAATGTGCGGTCAGTTTACCTGGTCGCTACACAAGCAGTTGAGTTTCTTAAGTTGTTTAAAATTTTTGCGAATTTAAGCTTACTGAGGCTCGTTCAATTTTAGTTGCTTTTTAATGTTATTTATTTATTAATTAAGTTTATTATTTGATTTGCTTGTCAGGTGTTTTTAACAGTAATGTTAGTGGGACATAGCCCCCTCCTTTTTTCTTCTATAAATGGTCTGATTCTCAGTTGAGGTTCATGTTTCTAGGGTTAATGACTTTGAACTGCAATATTCTTGTGGTGTTATCTAATATTTACCTTATAGATACTTGGAACTCAAGATTTCGGGACATTTTCGCTAGGCTATAATTACATTGTTGTTTTATGTTTTTGTTTATATATCATTTATTATGCTCTAATTTGTTTGAGCGTATTTCCTTAACTCACACGTTAGCTGAAATTTCATATGCATTTTCTGTTAAATTGAATTTTTCTTGAAGTCAGAAAATGTTTGGTCTCATTTCTCAACAAAGAAGCACCAAAATGTCTAAGGAGTGTGTTCAATAATTGGTTCTTTGATTGGGTCTGTGAATGCAGATGCTGTTGGTGTGCATGATGAGGCTGCAGAGAAGTATGGATTTGAAAAGGTATCAGAGGAGTTCATTGGAGAGTGTAAATCGAAGGTTGTGCTTTTTAAGCACAGAAAAACCGGTTGTGAGGTGATGTCTGTGTCAAATGATGATGAGAACAAGGTTTTCGGCATTGTTTTTCGTACACCTCCGTATGATTCTTTTTCCTTTTCCTTCTAAAACATTTCCATTATTTTGATATGATCATATGAGCTAAGCTTTAGTGTATAGTGTGACCATATCAATTGTATGCGGATGAACTTGAAAATAGAGTGTATACATTTTTTAAGCTTCTTTTTGGGTTTATTGACTATGCATGTTGTCCTGGCTGTGGAACAGTGAGAAAATTACATCTTATGTCTTCTGAAGTATAAGTTTGATGTGATGACTAAGTCATGAACTGGTGGAGGTCCCTGTGTAGCTGTTAACCTTTGGTTGCATAAAAAATTTAGTGCAAATTCAATGGCAATGACATGGTTCAAGGATGAAATTCAGAATCTAATATTATATGCCACCAAATAATGCTTGTATAAGGACTCAATGCATGACGAATAATAATTTAGGGAGCATCCACGCTAGTTCTAGCTAACCTGGTTATTTATTAGGTTGCCAGTTGTTATGAATTGGACATGCATTATTAACTGTCTTCTTAGTTGATAGTTGGATGGGATTGCTAGAATGTTATTCATATGCAGGAAGGATTCAACAGGAATTCCACACATATTGGAACACAGTGTATTGTGTGGGTCAAGAAAGTATCCGTTGAAAGAACCATTTGTTGAACTATTGAAAGGTAGCTTGCATACTTTTCTGAATGCATTCACGTATCCAGATAGGACTTGCTATCCAGTTGCATCCACAAATACAAAGGTAAACACTAGTTAGATGTGAATAGAAGCTTCAATGAAGGTTGACCTTGGATTTATGATTCTTGGCGGTTACCCTCTGAACAGGATTTCTACAATCTGGTTGACGTATACCTGGATGCTGTCTTCTTTCCCAAGTGTATTGAGGACTTCCAAACTTTCCAACAGGAGGGTTGGCATTATGAGCTAAATGATCCTTCAGAAGACATATCTTATAAAGGTGCATGTTTATTGGAGACAACTAAGCTATAGAAATTTTCATGTTCTGAACTACAATTTGTTTGTGAAGTATTTTTTGTTTTCTGGTAAACAGATACACTAGGTTCCTGGTTCCATTTTTCTGGTTTTTTTCTTTCCTTACATTTAAAATTATTTTCAACTTTAGGTGTTGTTTTCAATGAGATGAAAGGTGTTTATTCGCAGCCTGATAACATATTAGGACGGACTGCTCAACAGGTAAGTTCTCCAACTCTACATGATTTTACTCTCATAACTGAGCATAATAAATTTTTTTTTCTTTTCAAACAAAACTTTTCATAATATGTTTACTTTTGCAAGATGGTTCTTTTCCTAAAATATATCAATAACTAGTGGGCTAAATGTTATAGTTCCTGATGTGGAAATTTGTAGTATATGCAATATCTTTGAAGTCAAACCTTGTGGGATGACTCTTTTCCTACAATATATGATAATTAGTAGCCTAGATCTTATTGCTCCCTATGCCCCTGCCATTAATAGCATATCAAATATAATTGATGTCACACCTTGCTTGACTTTTGTTTATCTTTCAACTTAAATCATGCATTCTGAACGAACAATATTGATTCTCGAGTATGCCTTTGTATCTCTCTCACTTGAACGCATAAATGCTTATATGCATGCACATCTTCATAAATGATGCTTGCTTACTTGGATTGCCCACTTTCATATTCCAAGTAGTTCATCAAATGTCCCAGCAAGACAAGTATCAATTTCCTTTGATATTATTTGGCCGTAAATTTAGTGAACATTGTAAAACAAAATCAAAAACCATTCTGGATGGTTTTCTTGATGCCATTAATGTGAGATGTGGCAACTATCCATTTAACCAAAATGTTTTATTCTATTTTTCCTATATAGAAAAATGTAGTTGTTAATCTTCCATTCTTATTTTTTCCTTTTCTTCTGGATAGTTATTTTAAGAACCAGTGAAAATTTTGGTAATTTTTGTGCCATGTAGTGATTCTAATTCGGTATCATTTTTCACCAAATATATATTTTTTCTCAATAATGATTCTGATGAGTTACCTTGTTTATAGTTATATCTGTTTCTTATTTCAGAAAAAAAAAGATTACTTATAGTTGTTTCATGAAATTTTTTCACAGGCTATGTTTCCAGACAATACTTATGGTGTTGATAGTGGAGGTGATCCAAAGGTTATTCCCAAGTTAACCTTTGAGGAATTTAAGGTATGTAGTGTTCATCCTGATGATTGTTGATATGGCTGTTTGAATATGCCAATATAATGTTACCTGACCTTTGAAGGACAACTGTTTAGGAGTTTAATCTTTGTTGCTATGGATTTTAATGTTTGATGTTTTTCTTTTTTTGTTTCTTCTCATTCATAAATGTTGCAGGAGTTTCATCGTAAATATTACCACCCCAGCAATGCCCGAATATGGTTCTATGGAGATGATGACACAATTGAACGTCTCCGTATTTTGAGTGGTAAAGAATAAGACCGTAGTTTATGAATTTTGTATTCAGTCTCGCACTTCTGTTCCCTTTAATATATGACTTATTTAGATTATATGGATGATCATGTATAGAAGGAAAGGAATTTGATGAAATCTATTTTTTTTTAATGCAAACCTAGTTTAAAAAAAGGAGAAGCTATCTCATAAATGGATCAATCTTCTGTGATTTTCATTTGGAAACTCTTAAGGAACCGGCATGAGGCATCAATGTTATGGCATCTATGTTGTATGATATTATTTTAAGCAACCGTTGAAATTCTAAAGATATTGTATGGACTATAGAAATTGGAGGAGACTCTTAACAATTTTATGGGTGTTATGTTAAATAAACTAATACAAACATACCTCATAATTATGTATTGAGAGTGACATGACTAAGATTAGAGATAGATGTTTTTATTTGTTTGGAGCTCTTTTGTTGGGGCATGATGTGTATAGGGTGGAAGATTTTGGGTATATAATTGATTGCCTTACTAATATGTAATTGATTTTGCATAGGTTGCACCCCCTTGGTGCTCTGTTAATATATTTTACATTTTTTATTTCAAAAAAATTATGTATACTCATTTTAATGTTATATATTAGCATTTTAACGAGAACTTTTTTTCTTGCATAAATAAATAATTTAGATGTTCACATATTTAAAAAAAATTTCTACTACTAAGCAATCATCATCCGTGTTTTACCATCTACATTGTATTAAAAACTTCAAGTTTGTGATCTTTCTCCATCTTTTTCTCTCTTTCTATCATGTATGGTGAATGCAGAGTACCTAGATATGTTTGATGCAAGCCCTGCTCCAAATGAATCGAAGATTGAACCACAAAAGCTTTTCTCGGAGCCAGTGAGGATAGTTGAGAGATATCCTGCTGGTGAAGGTGGTGATCTTAAGAAGAAGCACATGGTATGCCTTAACTGGCTTTTATCTGATAAGCCGTTAGACTTGGAAACCGAACTCACGCTTGGGTTCTTGGACCATCTTATGTTGGGAACACCTGCTTCTCCCTTGAGGAAAATCTTGCTAGAAAGTGGTCTTGGAGAAGCCATTGTTGGTGGTGGAATAGAAGATGAGCTTTTGCAGCCTCAATTTAGCATTGGTTTGAAAGGTGTTTCTGATGATGACATTCAAAAGGTTGAAGAATTAATCATATCTACACTGAAAAAATTGGCAGAGGAAGGATTTGAAATGGAGGCTGTGGAGGCATCCATGAATACAATTGAGTTTTCTCTTAGGGAAAATAACACTGGCTCTTTTCCTCGTGGCTTATCTCTGATGCTTAGATCAGTTGTAAGATATCCACTTTTATGATATTTTCACTTGTTCTTTACCTTCTTATTTAATTCTTATATGAATTGTTTGTTTTGTTGTTTGACCTTCTAGGGTAAATGGATATATGACATGGATCCTTTTGAGCCATTGAAGTATGAGAAACCCTTAATGGCCCTTAAAGCTAGAATTGCAGAGGAAGGCTCCAAAGCTGTTTTCTCTCCTTTGATAGAGAAGTTCATCGTGAATAATCCTCATCGGGTTACCATTGAAATGCAGGTATTCATTCTTATCGAGAACTTCACTTCTCTTTCTTAGAGATTTCTTAAATCATTAAATCAGATAATGATTTCCATTTTTGTTACAGCCTGATCCAGAGAAAGCTTCTCGAGATGAAGTGGCTGAGAAAGAAATTTTGGATACACTTAAAGCAAGTATGACAGAAGAAGATCTAGCTGAACTAGCACGAGCTACTCAAGAATTAAGATTGAAACAGGAAACACCTGATCCTCCAGAAGCTTTGAGAAGTGTTCCAAGCCTCTCGTTACAGGACATCCCAAAAGAGCCTATACATGTTCCTATAGAGGTCATCAAAGCGTTATGTCTTTTCCTTTGATGCTCCTATTTCTTCCCTTTTCTTTTGGGGTTTGAGATGGTTGCTGAGTATATTTATACATTTCAACTGCAGGTTGGGGATATCAATGGTGTGAAGGTTTTGCGACATGATCTTTTCACAAATGATGTTCTCTATACTGAAATTGTCTTTAACATGAGTCCTCTGAAGCAAGAGCTTCTTCCTTTGGTGCCACTTTTCTGGTACGATGTTGCCTTATGATCTACTAGTCATTTTTTTGTTAGATGCCCCCTCCATTGAAGGTTTTATTCTGGGCATGAAAAAGAAGATTTACTGTTGAAAGTGATTAGTTTATTTGAGGGCTTGGTATGCATGATTAATGAAGAATTTTAACAATATGTTTAATAAGGAGTTAATGGGGACAAGCTTTGGCCATGGGCTTTATATTTGTTACCTCATCTATCTACTGCTGCCAATTTTCGTTTGTTTGATTTGAGTATCTGTGTGATATATCTCTCAGCCGAGGGATTTCCTTAGGGTAATTTATTTCTTTATGTGATCTCAATGTATCTGAAATAAAAGTATATGCATTTAAATGAAAAAGGGATTCTACTTACAAATGACAGTATTTTACAAATTCAGCATTCAGTTATATTGCCTTCTCCATACCTATGATCTAAACACCTGTAACCACTCTGCTGATCTTTAATGATATTTGTTGATAGTCATAACAACCTGGTCAACTTCATATAACCATCATGCTAGTTTTTATATAAATCTCTTACCATTCCTTTCCTTCATCTCAATGACCTTTTGGCAAGAAAAAAATTGGAGCATATCAGAAAAAAGCTTCCCATGATTTGTAATGTTTGCTTTAGATATTTGTTATTTCTTGATACAACCAAGAAGCTTCTTTAAAGAAGTTAATTAGTTTACTCCTTTAACTCATTCCCAATGTTCTTCGCAGTCAGTCATTGCTGGAGATGGGTACAAAAGATTTGACTTTTGTTCAGTTGAATCAGTTAATTGGACGGAAAACAGGAGGTATCTCAGTTTATCCATTCACGTCATCTATCAGGGGCAGGGATGATCCATGTAGCCATCTAATTGTCCGAGGCAAATCCATGGCTGGACGAGCTGAGGACCTCTTTAACCTGGTACTTCTATTTTCTTTGATTTTACAGAAGGACTTCTTTATTTGTTACCATGTTATAGCCAGTATACTCATTGCATCCGTAATTCCTGAAACTTTTTTGAAGACCTTGACTAAGTTGAGTTGTAGAGTCGTATATACATAGTTGCTCTTCTTGTATTGATATTTTTCCTTTAATCAGGCTATCCAAAAAGAACAGGTGTAGCATGGGATTTGTTTTGAAATATGTTTTGTGTTGAAGTTTAGTGATGAAACTTTTTTTTTTTTTTTTCCAGTTTTAATTCAGTCACTAATATCAGGCTGGAAGTTGCCTCTTTTACACAGACATAAAATCCATATTGAAACTATCTTGGCATCCCTATACTAATTACATTGCCGATTCCTTCACCTAATGTGCTATTTTGTGTTATCAAGTTGCAATTTAATTTTCAACCAACAATTAGTTGCAATTTTAACTTTTAAGTAGGTCTTCTTTGAGGTTGTGAATGTTTTCCAATTGTAGATCAATTGTGTCCTGCAAGAAGTTCAGTTTACCGACCAGCAGCGTTTTAAGCAGTTTGTTTCTCAAAGCAAAGCAAGAATGGAGGTATATATATTGTGTTTATTTTTTGAGGGATATTATTCATGACAAGCAGTAAGAGAAAGTAAATCTTCTTCAGATTCTCTAAGCTTGTATATATTTCAGAACCGGTTACGAGGAAGTGGTCATGGAATTGCAGCAGCAAGGATGGATTCAAAACTAAACGTTGCAGGTTGGATTTCTGAGCAAATGGGTGGTCTCAGGTTGGGATATTTTATCATCAAATTTGAACTTTCCTTTGATAGCCTTTGTTTTTCGCAATTAAATCTTAAACGTACATTTCACATATTAAGATTAGAGTAATTTTCTTGAATATGGCATTTGCTATATCCTGTTGGGTATTGCCTTGTTATATATTGGTAATTGGTTTCATCGAATTTTTATGGTATTTACGTCCATGTTTAATTCGATTATTTGGAAGATTTCTTGTTAACAGATTTGTTTAACATAGGGACATTTCATTTTTGTACTGAAAGATTCAATTGAGAAATTTGATGGAACTTCTGCATTTTGTATTTGTGGACTTGTAGTTACCTGGAATTCCTACTAGAACTTGAAGAGAAAGTTGATCAAGATTGGGCTGGAATTTCATCCTCTCTCGAGGAGATCAGAAGATCTTTACTTTCCAGAAATGGGTGTTTAATTAATATGACTGCCGATGGAAGAAATCTCACGAACACAGAAAAATTTATTAGCAAATTTCTGGATTTTCTTCCTAGCAACTCTTCTGTTGGAACCAGTAGTTGGACTGCTCAACTTCCTTTGAGTAATGAAGCTATTGTGATACCTACGCAGGTGAACTATTTGATTTGGAACTTCTCTGTCTCTCTCCTTCCCTTCAATTTTTATGAACAATTAAATCTAAGCGTAGACCTTTTATAGGTAAATTACGTTGGCAAAGCAGCAAACCTGTATGACACAGGTTATGATCTTAAGGGGAGTGCTTATGTTATATCAAAATATATTAGTAATACCTGGTTGTGGGATCGTGTGCGGGTTAGTGGTGGAGCCTATGGAGGTTTCTGCGACTTTGATACACATTCTGGTAAAATCTCTTGCCACTTGTGTTTGCTAGCAGTTTAAATCTGTTCTTTTTTTTACTGCTTTTGTAATGTATGGGATTAAACCTCAAGGTCTTGGGGTTGAAGTTGAACCCATAAGTGGCTTGTAACTGTCTCACCCCACTCAAATGGATGGGAACAAGGTAACCAATTAGATGACAGTTTAATTTCAATTTTTAGATAGTCACCTCTGAATTTTTCTTGTATAGGAGTATTCTCTTTCTTATCCTATCGAGATCCCAACTTGCTGAAGACACTTGATGTATATGATGGAGCCGGGGATTTCTTACGTGAACTTGATATGGATGATGATACACTAACTAAAGCAATTATTGGGACCATTGGAGATGTGGATTCATACCAGCTGCCCGATGCTAAAGGTTACAGTAGGTATGGGTGTATCTTGATATCTTTCTTTCTGGTCCTTGTTATTTTGCCAATTCATGTCCTACACGTACTATTTCTTATGATATCCTCAGAACATTACAAACTAAATGAGAGGTGTATGTTTTGGATCATATCCTCGGGTTTTTACTATTTTTGGTGCTGTAGCAAAAGTTTCTGTTGGTACTGCATGAAACGCAAAATAATTTCTAAATGCAAAAAGGAAATTCATAACCTCATACTGTCTTTACTGCATTCCTAAGGTTGACATGCCATAGTCCTTTATCCTTTCTGACGCAAATAAGTAGATTTTTCATTTATTATTTTGAAAATCTTCTATTTTATGGAAATTAAGAAATAGGTGAAACTCAATGCTTTTATAAGTCAAGGAACTAAACTGGACGTCGTATTATGATAATCATTCTCGTATTTATCATTTCATTCTTTTTCTTTCCCAGTTTGTTACGGTATCTGTTGGGAATAACAGAAGAAGAAAGGCAAAAGAGACGTGAAGAGATCCTATCAACAAGGTAAATATAATATTTGTTGAATCAATGATCTGATTGTGCTAAAAGATGACAACTGGAGTATTGACGAGCATGAGGTTGCCAACGTGTGAAGTATTGTAATTTATAATCAATGCACACTACCCTGCTAAATCTTCGTTGAGAATTACCTTTTACGGGAAGCAAACCTTCCATATTGGGTGAATTCTTCGATCTTTTGACCCAAGAATTTTTGTTCTTTCTTTATGACCATTCAGTTTGAAGGACTTCAAGGAATTCGCCGATGCAATAGATGCTGTTAAACATAAAGGGGTTGTGGTTGCAGTCGCATCTCCAGATGATGTTGATGCGGCTAACAAGGAGCGGTCTAACTTCTTTGAGGTGAAGAAAGCTCTATAACAGGTCAATCTGCATTTTGCTAGAACCAGAAGGGATTTTTCTTACCTTCAATAACGAAATTATATTCTTCCAATTTTTTCACATAAGTTAAAAATTTAATGATACTACAGAGTTAGAGGCTAAGCTAGCATGTAACTTGGCCCCATTGGTCACCCTGCTTCCATCTTTTGATGGTTGAGTTTTACTTTCTAGTTCCAATTCCTGAACTTCATAAAGGGTTCGTGTCATAATGATGTTAGTATTTCTTACATGAAAAACTTGAGACACTCACACGTGTATATGTATATGTCAGCCGAAACGATGGACGTCAAAATGTTCCCTAATGGTGTGGCAATTGGCCGCCATCGACCACCGGCTTCCACATTTTCAACAAAATGAATTTCAAGCTTTCAAATTTATGATCAACCAAATACTATTATTACGAAAACAAAAAAGGGTCCTTGTCGTTTCCTACTCCCACATGACTCAAATTCTGATAAGGATTTCAAAAAGATGTTCGGCCGCAAAGTTTATAACTTTTTCATCACCTTGTATTTTCTAAAATTTAAATAATTGATTCAAAACTTTTGACAAGCTAATTGTGTTATTGAATTTGAGAGGACCAGATTCAAATCTGTCTCGAGAAAAGGAGTTGCCCTTTTTCTTTTCAGTTTCCAGTGGACCATCATTGTTCGTGTCTTGAATTTCAAAAGCTACATTGGCTTTTAAGTAAAATGTTTACTTGTATTATTGTACGAACTTCTTACCCTCTATATCCTTATCTTTACCAATCCCCAATTTCATTATTCTAATTTTCTTAAATAACCAACTAATTAAATTAAATTAATCAATATTTTTTTTATAATTAAAATAGTTAGAACAAGTTAAAAAAAAAAAAACAATGATTTAATAATTAATTGTGACTAGTTTAGGAAGCAAACACCCAGACCACACCTGTTCTATTAATAGGTAGTTACCCACATCTTTATATACACACACACATGTATATATAAATAGATATATGTATGTGTACACCGGGTGTCTTTATATCTAAAATTTAATATATTCCAATTCCTATTTTCGTACAATGACTATTCAATCTTTTATCATCTTTTGTCTTTCTCTTCTTCCGTGTAAGAACAGAGATTGTGACATTATTTTATGTCTACAATGACCGACATAGACTATGTACCTTTTTCCACTTCCATTACAAGATTGGAGATCATCACATATACATATATAAATTATGTGTGCATATTTATATTTATATCCATTGCATTTTTTACAAATACACACGTTAACAAATTACATCTATAATTGCCTTAATGTATTATACGACCATATAAATTATTTAATATTTTTAAGAATAATAATATTTTCATATTTTTTTAAAAAATATAATAATTAAATTTAAATTTAATATCTTTAAATCCAAACACATCACGATCATCTATCCATATACGATCGATATATATTTAGTTAGATTAATATTTTAAGATATAAAATTTAAACTATAGATTTTGATCATCTGAACTAATCTGATCAATAATTAAAGTGATGCAGAGGTGCGCGCTATTAAAATTATAATTCCGTTAAATTAACGGATTAACGATATTTTGAAAAACAGAAAATGGAGGTGGTAATTTTTTTTTTTGGCGGGGAGAAAATAAGATGAGATTCTTAGTTAGTTAAAAGGTCATTCATGTACCAAAGTTTGATACGCTTACATTGCATCCAAAACGGTGAAGAGTTTTGCGTTTCAACGTGACAGCCAAGAGCCATAGCGTTAACGATGGCGTTTCCGGTCCGCCCTCGCGTGGAAACTGAGTTGGGACCACGTACGCTGTACGCAACAATAACAAACATCCGCTCCCAAAAAATGAATCTCAACCGTCCAATAAATCTACGGCTTTCCATCCGTCATCTCCATTATCAAAATCTCCATTTAAACACAACCCCTCTCTCTCTCTCTCGCTCTCTCTCTCTCTAAGCAGAACCCCCAGAAAAACAGAGAGGGTTCGGTTGCGGAGAAAGAGAGATGGGTGATTCTGTGAGTAATAGTAAACGAAGTGCGAAATTTGCAGAGATTGAAACTTCGATGTCAGGCTTACCTTGTAAGAGAACCAAGAGTGTTGGTTCAACGGATACCGAGCTCAAAAACCCTCGTTCGTCTGCGACCTCCTCGGATAAGGAGATTTCTCCAGCGATATCGCCTAGTTCACGCCGTGCTTTTGCGGCAGAAACTGCTGGAGAACACTGTTCGATTGTCTCCTCCGATTGCTCCACCAACGAGTCCTGCGAAATCCTGAAAGATGGTTTGAGATCAGTAGATCTGCAGGTGAATTTAAAATTTAGAATTCGAACTTATGATTTGAATTTCTTCCTCTGTTTCTCTCATTTGGTTGTGGAGAAAAACGAAGAAAGGATAAATGCCCCGTCCTTTGTTTTGGTTTTGCTCGATAAAGGAAAAATCAAATGAACGGCAAATTGCAATCTAGGTTCCTTCTCCCGCCGTTTTTCCTCTGGGAGAAAACATAATTACTTTCCAGGTTGCTTCTGTTTCGAATCCAAAGGGTTTCATATTTATATTTTAATTAATTTTCCCCTTTCCATGTCCTCATCGAGCAACAAGAGAGAATGTCAATTTCCGTTTCCTGCTGTTTAATTCGCACACAGTGTAGTATTTAATATAAATATTTACAGTTCTTGAATGTTTTTAATATTTCAGAGCAGGAGTTTCGAAACCGAAATTCCAACGTGCATCACCAACAAATTCAGGTTCATTAATTTCATTCCTGTTTTTGGAAATCAGAAACGATTCGTTTATGCTTAACGCTTCGTTATCTCCACATTCAGATTTGTCTTCTTCTTAACGTTCCTCAAATTCTATGTGCACATCAAGCTCCCTCTTGTTTTTTCTTTAGAACTTTTGTCCTGTTTGTGACTCTTCCATTTTCTGCAGCAGCAGAGAGACGACTCCGACCAGCGAGATTTGCGGAGATACAGCGGAAATGGACTCGACAGCTAAAAATCTGCCTGTTACGGCAAAGGATCAACGAAGAAGGTTACCGGCAGCGAAGATGCCATCTCAGGCCGAGATCGACGAGTTCTTCTCTGTAGCCGAGAAGTACGAGCAGAAGCGATTCTCAGACAAGTGAGTACAATACGCTTTTCCTGTCGCTTCTGTGCGTTATAGTGCGACTGGACGCGTAGGATAAGGATTTGATTCCAACAGGCTGAATTTTAGCATTTCGTGGATAACAGAGAGAGAGAAAGAGAGAGAGAGAGAGAGAGAGAGAGAGAGGATAGAACCCTAACTAACTAACAGACCTTTTCGGTTATCTTCTATGCAGGTACAATTATGACGTTGTCAATGATGCTCCGCTTGAAGGTCGTTACCAGTGGCTTCCCTTGAAGCCATGAAGATTGAGAGCAAATACAGTACTGAAGGACAGACACTAAAGTCACAGTGGGTAACGAAAGCACTTTACATATCATCATGGTGACTTGGGTGGTCGTTATTTGTACAGGTTTTTCTCTCTATCTAATATGTGTAAGAAGTTCTCTGTTATTTTTCAAGTACATGAAAAGAAAAAAAAAAAGTATTTGAAGAAGCTTCGTCTCGCAGCCTATTACTCTTCTAGGAACGAATTACCCAATTCGGAAATCGAAAAAACAAAATTGCATACCAATTTTCATTTTTCTGGGCCATAATTCATATTATTATTAATTAATGTCCCCTTTTGGTGTTTTTTTTTTGTTGGGTACAGTTATTTGTCATTGATACATTATTTTTGGAAGGAACAAGAATGCAGATGTAGGTTGCATTGATGGCATTTTGCTTGTATGTTTGAAAGTTGTTTTTTGTTCGAGCATATTTTGGCTGGTTTTGAGTTGTTTGTTCTCTGTTCTTTATCACTGCACGCCTTTTCTCTTTTTTTTTGTTCGCTCGTCTATTTTTATGGCCTTATTTTGGAATATTCTCTTGGAAATTTTGATCCTTTAGAATATGATTAGCTTCTAATTTTGTGTGATTTTATTTTCGAATATATCATGGGTCCATCACAATTTCCATTTGTTTTCATCAGAAATTTATCAAAGTAAATTACTTTATACCCATGACTTCATGTTATTGCAATTCCTATCATATGTATGATCTAAAAAACATAGAGATGAACACCAGTAGGGTAGTTTGGTGGCACAT